GGGGAAGAAGCCATTTTGACGCATTGCGGGATGCATGCATTGGAAGAGGGGGCAAGGTTGAAACAAAGTTTTGGCGCGGTTTTGGCCCGAAAGACCTCCCCCCCGCCCCCCCCCCCGATGTTTGCCATCGGGGTTTGGGTTTTCGTCGCTTGGCAACGACGTTGTAAAACATGCCGCCCCCCCCGGTGTTTGTCATCGGGGTTGGGTTTTCGTCGCTTGGCAACGACGTTGTAAAACAAGCCAATTCACTCCGTGAACTCGGCAACCAGGTTACCGTTTTTTTTTTTTACCTCGTTTTTTTTTTTGGCGGTAACCATAATGGTGGTCGAGTAGATCATGTTGTGCGGGGTCGAGAAACCTCACTCCGCGCAACGGGGGATGATCGTACCACGTTGTGTTAAAATGGTCAAGCTTCCTCGAGGCAGTTACACAGTGCTCACAACTGTCTCTGGAAGTGAAAGCACCAGAAAATAAATTAAGTCATACGTAGCTGTCATCCGTACGCAAGGAAGTAAGCACAAGATGCCGAACACCCTTAGCAGGATGCAGCTCACCCTTCATGCGACTCGCCAAATACCTCACGGCGCTTCGCGCTTGGTGATGTGAGAGCCTGGTCCGGTGAGAACCCGGCGTGCTCCGTCCCGGCTTTGTAGGGATGCGAGGTCAATGGTCAAACGACTACGGCATGCACGACTATGAGTACACCCCCCCCCCCCCCCCAGGAGAATGCCGTAGTGGACCAGTACACCTACCTCGGAATAAAAATCGCAAAATACTGCTCGTGGAATGCACACATGTCCCAAGGAGCGGAAAAGGGCAAAGCACGAGCAGGGAAGCTGCACCCAATACTCGCAAACCGGCACCTCGATACACGCATCAAATTGGCGGTTTTGAAGAGCGTAGTCGTACCGCCGCTAGAGTACGCCGGAGAAGTATGGGAAGGAAAAAAGAAGGTAGTGAAAGAACTCGAGGCGGCGCAGATGAAAGCAGCGATTTTCTTCCTAGAATGCTCCAAGCGCACAGTAATGCAGCCGTCAGGGCAGAATTGGGGACCCAATCCCTGCGGTCAGGAAGAGACGCAAGGAAGCTGACATGGCAGTATCGCATGTGCGGGATGGGAGAGGAGAGGTTGCCAAGAATAGTATGGGAGGCGAAGTGGGCAAACAAAAACAGGGGTAGACAACCCACAGAAGGACGTATGGAAGGGGTTAGACATCGACGAAGATGAAACGCCGGAAACGGAGGGTCTAGAGGGGTTCAAGGAGAAGATATTTGTTGCTTGTGCCGAGAGAGAGAAAAACATAATCTAAGGAAAGAAACCGAGGATCAGGAGGGTCTAGAAGTGTACGGAAAGTTGAAAGAAGGAATAGGGTTCAAGGATTACCTACATGGACCAATGGATGCAGGGACAAAGCTTAAGGTCAAATTCAGGACCGACGAAGACATAGGACGGTAGACGACGAAGACGACAAGTTCAAATATGATTGCGGCTTCGAATGCGAAGACCGTGTTCATGTAGTCGCGGAATGTCCGTGGTACGAAGAGGAGAGGAAAGTGTACATGACTGAGCTGGGAAAAATACAAGGGACGTACAGGGAGATGTTTGAGGCATGGAATAGAGAGGAGAGGACGGTAGCTGTACTGGGGAGTAGGAAGTGGTTTGAAAAGGCGGGAAGGGATATCGTGAGGATAGACAGACTAGGGAAGACATTTTTGAGCCACCTTTGGCAAAGTAGGAAGGAACGATTGGCCATCGGTGATCGGTCCTGTGGGAACAATGCTCCGTCCTCTCGAGGACGCGTGGTCAATCGTCTAACGACTACGGCATGCAAAACATAAGAGTACGCCCCCCCCCCCCCCCAAGCTCTCAGGGGTTTGACGGGGTGGGGGGGGAAGCCCGGAAACCCACTCCCTTTTTCGTGGGCCTGTTTCCCCGGAAGCCCTTGAAAATCAATCCACCGTGTTCCTCCGAAGTGGGGAATAACGTTTAACGAGTGACACACTTTGCTCGGTAGATACCACACCTTGTTCTTCCGATGACGTATGATACCCCTCCCCCTATGATACAACCGCCGTGCAAGGGGGTACGGGGTCAGCTACCGGCCGCCGTACGGTAGTCGTGGGCAAACCCCGTGTTTTGCGGCATGCCCTGAGTATTGACCACAGGGTCGCGTGACTGGCACCACTGCAGCATAGCCGCTACACCGGCAACGCCCTGGATGGCGACCACATTCCCTCTTGACACTAAATATGCATATGTAGGATTTCGACTTTTTTACTCTTCACGGTCGTTTTTCTCCGCTGGGACAGCGTTTTTTCTCGCACTTTCTTCTGCATGGCACGCAGAGGACCCGTCGGTACATTACCCGTTACGTGTGGGGCTCGCGAGACACCGGTGGTGCGCGTTAGGGCTGCCTAAAAGTCGCTGGGACTGGTTCTTTTTTCAGGGATTGGGAATCCGAACCATAAAACCCTCCTCGAACGGCACGAAAACTGAAAACAGAAATTTTTTTGTACCCCGCGCCACGCGCCACGCGCCCACGCGCCCACACACCTGCTGCTGTGATTGTTGCGCACAACCGCCGTACGGCAACTGGCGCATGTGTACCCACAGCGGGGATCAAGACTCTTGATGCGCACGGGAACACACCACCCGACACAGAAGTCCTCTCGCACAACTCTGGCAGCGTTAATTTTTTTTAATTACGTTCATTTTTTCACTTCCGAAAGATGGAAAAAGTAAAAAAAAGAACTTTGGTAAGTAAGGTAGCAGTTCTTGGGCACGTTGAGCGTCTCTTTGATCCGTTGTTGTGTGGTGTATGCGTGAAAAATTTCCACAGACCATGGGGAACGAACACGATCACACAAGAAGAGAAAGTGATCAAACGCAGCGGATTACAGCAGTAGGACCTGCAGCAAAGACAGCGCTAGCCTAACAGCACACACTCGCGCACAAGGGAAAGTCACGGCGGGAGAAAACAAAATACCCCGCACATATACAACTTGGCATATATGATGCAAATTCCAGGCAAATTTTTAGTATGCAGGTTGCACGTAAGCCGGCACTACCGAACGTAATGACGACCAACCTGCGACCGCGATGACATTGATTGGCCATGTCCTCTTGCGTCGCCCCCGGGAGGCAAACCACCTGCTACCTCCCGCAGAGGAACCGCGTAGGTATTGTTGTAGTATGCATACAACTCCTGTTGTACACGAAATAATGCACCGCAAGCTCGTATATGACCGATCCTAACGCCGTCTTCCCGCCTCCAGCAGAGACGGCCGCCCATCCAGAGAAGGCAGCAGCAGCAGCAGCAGCAGTAGCGACAGCAGAAGGAACCAATGGCTCGTCGGCTGCTGCGTCGGGAGATGCGGCCGCAGAGGGATCTTCCGGCTCCGACTCGGACGACGACACGGAGGCGACGGGGGGCGGCGGTGGCGGGGGCGACGGCGGCACGGCGGCGGCGACTAAAAACAGCAAGACCCCCGAGGAGAAGCTCATCAAGGTACCGTTTGCATGGTATGCCTGCTTGCACGTGATGGGGGGTGACAAACGGGTGCACCTAGTAGGCAAGACAAGCGCAGCCTTGAATTAGTCCCGAGCCCGACTTGCTGTCCCGAAGACGGATTCGGCATCTATTCAGATGACTCCGCAGAAGGGGGCGAGAAAAGACCACAACAACACGTTACCTCCTCCCCCTCCCCCCGGCATGCGCGCCTCGTTGAGAAGAAGCAGCACCGTTTATGTTGTCGTGTGCCCCAGTCCGAGAGGCCATCGGAGGCCTGCCTGCCCGCCTGCTATGCGAAAGCTCGCCAACGCGCAGAACACGAGCAGAGCGTTAGGGTGCAGTATTCGGAGGGCTGACATGGTTCCCCCGCTGTTTTTACGCGCGCTTTCGATGTACCACACACATGTTTCGATCACCCCACCCCTCGCGACTGGCTCGCCGGACGCTTTCGACCCTCTTACTTGGAGGGTAGTTGCTATCACTATGTAGCGGTCGGTGGTGTGTCTTGCCTAATGAGGCTGGGGCCAGAGACTTTTCGAGATGTTCACGTCCAGCGCGGCAAGAATGTGCATATGTACCTCCTACAGTCTTGATCAATTGTGAGAGTACCCTTTTGGCACCTGTAAGAGATGCGTACGTACTGGTGAGATAGTCGAGGCACGCACGCGTGTAAGTACACCCCCACGGACCGGCAAGCAAAGAAAGAAGTACCCCCGCCCCCCCGATGCCTCCCCCGCGGAATATCGACGCAGGCCATGGGGTACAAGGACAAGGGCAACGTGTGCATCGCGGCGAGCGACAGCGCCGGCGCCGCTAAGCATTATGAGAGGGGCATCAAGATCGTCTCCACGCTGGGAACAGACGAGCAGGCGAAGGCACTGCTGCTGTCGCTCAGGCTCAACCTCGCGCTGGCTTGCACGAAGGAGGAGCGGTACTTCGACGCCGCGAGCGCGGCCACCAAGGTTTTGGAGGTCGACGCTGCCAACGTCAAGGTGGGGGTCGTCGTTGGGGGGGGGGGGAGGCAGAGAGGGGGAAACAGTGAAAAGGTTGGCATCAGAGGGCGAGAGAGAGAGACAGATAATTTTTTCCTCGACCCGAAACGCTGCTGCTGCTGCTGCTGCTGCTGCTGCTGCTGCTGCTGCTGCTGTTGTGAATGTGGTTCTCGCATTAAAGCGATCCGCTTTGACGGCACGTCTACACCCTCCAAGTGCCTCGACAGCATCCGTGCTGTGGCCGTTATAAAGAAGTATTGCGAAACAAAATTCTCGTGGTCGTTGGGGGAGCTGGCTCGCAAAGAGTGAGAATGGATATAAGTAACATTAGTAACAGCAAGAATTCCGGCAATCCCCCGAGGAAAATGGTGTGCGTGCGTGCGTGTCTCTGCCCGTGAAGGCTTGTGATTATTCTCAGCCGCATTCGACGCGTCGCTTAATCGTGGTCGTGTCGTAGGCTTTGTTCCGGAGAGGTGTGGCCAGAGCACGACTCGGGTCTTTGGAAGACGCCAAGAGCGACCTGCTGGCCGTTGTCAAGGCTGACCCGCGCAATGGAGGAGCCAAGAAGGAGCTCAAGGTGAATTGATCTACGCGTTGTTGCTACTGCTACTGCTGCTGCTGCTGCTGCTGCTGCTGCTGCTGCTGCTGCTGTTGTCGTTGTCGTGGATGTTGTTTGCATATTTGCTCAAAGTCCGCCTTTCCTCTGGGATGGCCCAGTGCTTTTGTTTTGCGAACAAGGCCGTGCTCTGCTGCTGTGGTTTCCTTCAAGTTTGGGGTCAAGAGTCCCACGGCTTAAGAGTGCACCGTGGTTATGCCAAAGAATTGTGAAGAAAGTGGGCACTATACTTGTAGCCATATCGAGTGCGGGTCTGTCGTCCTTGCTTCCCTATCATGTTCTGTCACACGAGACTCGACGCGAACGAGGTCTCCGGGGCGCGGGAGTAGTAGCCGGCACCCCCCTTCCCCCACTCCTGTTTTGTGAACGGGAGGGGAGAGGGGATGCGGGGACGCCTATCGCGGAGATCTGTGTGGGAATTTTTTATTTTCTTCGGCAGGCTCTCTCTTTCTCATGCATTATACTCTTGTGTCTCTCTCTCCTTCTCTCCCGACCACGTCGTGCCGTCTGTGCGACAGGCGGTGCGAGACCGACTCGTGGAGCACAGAAAGAAGGAGAAGGAGAGCTACGGGGGCCTGTTCGACAAGGGGCCAATGTACAACGACAAAGAGGCAAGCAGGGGGTCCGTATATACATGCTCCTCCTCGGGGGGCACACAGATATAATTTTCGGGGGGGGCGTCCGTTCGCGATGACGACGACGTGTACAAGACCGTGTTTTTCTCACGTGTCGATGCGGCAATCGTGGTTCCGGTTTAGCGACCCACATTGTCACAAAATGGTATAACGGCTATTGATGGCATCGCCGCTAAACGGGATAGGCAGTTGTATAGTAGTTGGACTACCGATTGCTCGGCCGTGCCACGAGATTGTGGAACCGCTTTTGAGGGCATCCCGCGAAAAGGAGAAGGGACCGCTGTACCGGGACCACGAACTAGTCATTCGACTTTTTCGGGTAAGCGATGGCTCGTTGGTGACTGCACGGAGGTGGCAGAGTTGGCGCGCTCTTGTGCATTGTGATTTTGTCTCGTAGGCCGAAGAAATATACTGCTGCTGCAACCCGCTTTTACTTTGTGTCCAAAGAGGTGGTAGGATGGGGAGAAAGCGTGAGTCAACGGGGGCTAGAGAGAGGGCGCGGTGCGTCTTCCGTTCTTACGTGTGGTGGCTGGTGGTATTTAATTGTTTTTCCTTTGGGGAATCGGCTGTTTGACGGATAGTCGCTCGGCAGCTCGGCAGAAAGCCTTGGGTACAGCGACAAGTGAGGTTGATTGAGCTACCGCTGCTGCTACTGCTGTTGCAGTGGCTGGTGGCTGGTGCTGCCTTCTTTTTTGGGGTACGTACATGTCGCTTCGCGTGAGCTTACAATCATATGCTTAGGTGCACGCGGCAGGCGAACCTTTTGTTTCTACACACGGTCGTCTTGACAGACACATGCGTGAAGGATGGGCGGAAGAGCCTAAAGCAACACACACCCTTCTCCCTCTCTTATCCCCTCGTTACAGGTTGAGCGGAAGAAGCGAGAAGCTGAAGCCCTGAAGCGTCAGAAGGAGGAGGAGGAACAGTGGGGCAAGGCCAACGAGCAGAGGAAGGCGGATGGAAAGGAGGAGCAGACGCTGGAGGACTGGCGGAAGGAGAAGAAAGGTTTGTATTTAGTAGGTCTACGGTATCTACCTGCGCGGCGAGATTCCACAATTTCCTCGCGACGCCCCCCGCCCGCATCCACCGCAACGTGAGGTTCGCCGTCTCCTTTTCTCTTTGTTGGCGTTGTTTGTGATGGGTATTGACTGCTGTTCTTGATGCGTGGCAGAGGCACAGGAGAAGGGTTTGCCGTCTCCTCCTCTCTTTCTTGTGTTGGGTCTGACGGGCGCGGTCTTCTGTTCTCGGCACGGCAGAGGCGGAGGAGAAGGCTAAGAAGGAACGCGAGGAGAAGGAGAGGTTGAAGCCGCGGCCCCCCGCGATCCCCGTCGCCCCGCCAAAAAAGGCTTCCAAGAAGGAGGGGGGGGGGGGGGACGGCGACTACCAAATGGAGCTGGACGAGGACGACCTGAAGATCATCCAGGACACGAAAAAGCAGGGGTACTGCTACTTCAAGAGGACGCTCAGCGAGCAGGACCAGCAGCTGTTGAACGCGGAGCAGATGAAGCTCAAAACGGTGAGTGCGCCGGGCCGGAGGGGTGGAGGGGTGGGGGGGTGGGGGGTCGGGGGGGGGGCGAAAGAAAGCGTGTGCGTTTCCCGGGTGCGAGAGAATCATGCGGTGTGTTGGAGGGCGGGCGAGGTACCTAAGAAGTAGAGTCCGAAGCTGACGAAGTTCCGACAGCTGCGGTAGAGTGGGTACCGCCAACCGCTGCGTCGAGCGATATGTTGTACGTGTACGGAGTCAGTGTTTGCCGGGCTCAACGCCCAGGTGACGGCCAGACAATGGCTTGTAGAGAACGCACGAACGCAACCAAGAAGAGACGAAAACCGTCTTGTAGCGTCGGCACAAGGCAGGTTAGATTTTCTCACGCCCCTGGAAGACACCACCACAGGACCAGACCAATCGTGCAGAGTACGATGCCGTGTTTCCGATAATTGCGCGCCGGTGACGTAAGATACCACACCGCCTTGTGGCTCTTTTTTTTTTTTTTTTTTCGGGCTCTCAATAGTTTGTATGGAATCATAGTTGGGGGGTGGTGTATTGTATTGTTTCTTGGTGACCATCCGCGGCACCCCTTTTCCACGACATTGTGGTGTGCCCCTTGCTCCCCCCGGCGTCGCTCGCTCATTGGCTTGGCCGACTCGCAGCGTGTGGCTGATCCGGCGAGCATCCCAGAAAAGAAGGAGGCGGACGCGGATGCCGTTAGGTCCGCTTGGAACAACGCTGGGACCTGGGAGGAGACGGAGAAGACGGACTGGTGCAAGGGGAAGCTTACGGAAGCCTTCAGGTTCTTGTGTACCTCTTTTCTTATTTCAGTGTTCTCTTTATCTCTGCCTTCTTTTTCGCTCTCTATTTCTTTCCTATCTTCCCTTCGTGTATCTTACGTTCCTTTTTCTTTCGTTGTTTTTCTTCCTTCTTTTCGCTCTTTTTTTCGTACTTTTGGTCGAAAATGGCAGACCCCTTCCCGAAGATCCCTTAGAGTCTGTCACTAATTATTGCACAACCCTTCCATCATCGTCCTCATGGTTAGTTTTTCTCGTGCTCTGTGTCGTCTCGGGGGCCCCGCAGTAAGGTATCGGTGACCGTGGGGAAGGACGCTCGCAGCGACCCGGAGTTCCTGTTGGAGAAGCTCGGCGGTTTCGATTTCGCTTCCGCCGCCGCGGGGGACGGCGCCGGGGGCGGGAAGGGGCTGGAGGCGCTCGGCCAGCTGAAGCAGGCCCTCTCGAAGGTGGGTGTTGCTGGCGGTGGTGGTGGTGGTGGTGGTGGTTGCTGTTGGTGGTGATGGTGATATTGGTGGTGGTTGGTTAATGGTGGTAGTGGTGATGCCCTGCCATGTAATAGCGAAGCATTTTTGTTGGGACGGGGTTAAACAGCAGTGTAGCGTTTGCAAGGGCCCTCGTGGGGTCGATGGGTAGCTGGACGTAGACTTTCCCCGAGACCCTTTAACCCGGTGCGACGATGTTCCGAATCCCCCGATCGCGCCGGCAGAACAAATGCAGGCATTTTTTTTCCTTGACGCGTTTCGCTGCCGGGGAAACGCCGGGGAAACCCGTGGTTCGTTATCCGAGAAACCTGTGGGGAAACCCGCGGGGAAATCCCGTAGGGAAACCCATGTGTTGTTGGCTCAAAACACTCCGAATCGTGCGCTTGCGCTTAACAAGTGCCTTGTTCCTTGCAAGGCGGGGGATGAAGTACGCCACAAGAGGCCCTACCCCTCCGTTTCTGTTTAGTTGCTACATAGCACCGACCTGTTTCCCCCGGGTTCTATGCTTGGAATTTTCCCTTCTGCAGCTGAGGGCGAGCGTGACGAGCGTCGAGATTGTCGAGGCGGACGCGCGTGTGATCTGCGTGAGCAACAAGACCAAACACCTCTTCGAGTTCAACGTCAAGGTCAAATTCTCGTTGACCATCGACGAGTCCATGGGGCTGCAGCCGCAAGCACAGGAGGTGCGTTGTTTTGCGTGCATTTTTTTATTCTTTTATTTTTCGAAAACGACACCGACAATCTCGTCGAAAAATCCGGTTCCTCGGATATCTCACGAGAAGAAACGATTTCCAGTTTTTTTACGTTTTGCGTATTTGGTCGAGAGGGTTGGAGTGGCGCCAGGTGCAAGACCCGTCTCACAGCAGGAGCAGCCAAAGGAGGTGATCTCGAGTGGCTAGGCTATGGGTGACCACTGTTTTGTCTATGATGTTCGTTTGACGCTGCCAGCAGGAGGGGCAAGCAGCAAGCAAGGACGCTGGCCTGGTGAAGACGTACAAGGCCACGCTGGAGTTCTTGGACATGACCAATGGCGATGTGGACAACGGACGGTTTGAGTCAGAGGTGAGCGGTCTCCGATGCTGCTGCTGCCTGATTGTGTTCTTTCTGTTGGTCGGGTGCCGGTGTTGTCGCTGTTTGGTATTTTTTGCTATAATATAGGTTGCTTGTTTTGTGAACTGCATTCCTCTGTGGGCAAGACTGTGTAGGGTTTCGTAGTGCAAAGCAAGGCTGTCGCGAATATTCTAGAACGTCGACGAATGCATGCAACAGACGAGTACGGACACTACGAAAGTGCGAATCTGCTCACTAGGCTCTTTTTTGGTCAACCACATACTTCGCTGCTCCATCCCGTTAACCCGACTCTACCTGGGGTGAACTCATTTCATCGATGTTTTCCGACTGCGTTGTTCCCCTCCACCTCCACCGCACCCCGCACAAATCTCTCTGGACGTTCCGCGCACGCAAAAAAAAGCCGGAGCTGAAGTGGGACAAGGGCTCAAAGTGGGATTCCGTGTACGACGACAGGGTCAAGACCTGCGTCGCTGACCTCAAGGCTGGCCTCCTGTCCGCCCTCGGGGTTTTCTTCGTGGAGTACAAGAGTTCGTAGCGCGGTAGCATGCTACTGTACCTTATCACAACTCAAAGAGGAGCCGGCAAGGAGTTAAGTTGGAAAAAAAACAAACGCCACGGAGAGATCCGTGGTGTTTTTTCTTTTGCCGAACTTTTGAGGAGGCCGGTCAGTGGAGACTACACAGCAGTACCTCGGTAGAGAGAGAAAGAGAACGAGGAGTACTAGAGCACGGCAGCGGCGGCGGCGACGTTTGTGTGGTAGCTTTTACGTCGTGAAACATTTCCCCCGTGTCTACCAGACGCCACCAGAACAAGTCGAGGGGGATTGTTTTTGTTTTTTTTTCGTCCCTGGAAATACTTGGGGGGGCGTTTGCGTGTCCGCGAGACACGAGCAAGGGTGGAAGGATTTTGTGAGGTGGATGAACGAGATCTTGATGCTCTTCCTGCTTTGCTTCTTCTTGTCAACCGTGTTTCGTTTTATTTTTTGGTCATGCAGGGATATCGTGCTTGCTGTAGTTTCTATGTCCTGCGGTCGGGTTCGTTTCTTCGAGAGCCCCCTCGGAGCGGAAACATGGATCACGAACCTCTGGGTACGTGTGTGCGAATAAGTTCTTGGCAAGTCATAACAGGACACGGGTCGCTCTGCTGATTATAATATCCGCTCAATTTGATTCTTGTCAATGAGATGGATGGATGGATGGCTGAGAGAAAACTGTACTAATAAATAGACATGGGAGGAGAGAAAGACATGAAGAGAGAGGAACACAGTTCAGCTTAAAAAGCACTTGATGTCTTTCTCTCTCTAGACTAATAGGGCGCTGCGCTAAGGAACATATGTACGTACGTTCGGTTTTCGTACATGTCTTATCACATCACCAGGGGAGGGCCCGAATTACAAGGTGGAGGTCGAGGGGTAGGTGTCGGACGGGGATTTTCAGAGGTCAGGTTTCGCAGCCACTCTAGATAGTGGAGACGTAGCACTGATGCTTGCTGTCGTTATTTTGCTCGTGGTTCTAATCACATGGTCATTACATTGAGACAGCTAGCTGTGGGCTCGTACTTGCTGCTGCCGGGGAGGAGCTGTTACTGTGCTGTGCCAAGTCACAAAGAGGTTTGGTTCACCTTCTGAAGTTTCACCATGTTTACGCTTTTGCGAAGCATGGCGCCTACTAGCGCTACCCGAGGAGCTGCGGATCCGTGTTTTTGCTGCTTTGACCGGTTTACCCGCCAGCACCGTATGCATGGGGGGGAAAAGCCGGGTCAAGAGATAGAAAAGCGTTAGCACAGCGTCGGGTCCTCTCGGTGTTTGCAGCGGTGTTGTCATGTCTCGATCGTTGTTCACGTTGCACAGGACCGTTTTTTCCCCACCTGCCGCCCAGAAAGAAAGAGCCTGTTGCCCGTATGTTTTGTGCTGCTGCTGCGCACAAGAAGCGACCGTATGAGATTTGCGACGCCACCGCCTGATTCCCGCTTTTGAGACGAACACTGCAATCCACCGATGTACACAACGTTAACCCCCAACCGACGGAATCTCCGATATGGCGGGTCCCGGTCGCACTCGACGATAACCACACGCATGAAGAAGAGCATTTTCTGACGCTTGAGCTTGAGGGGCAGCACACACCGCGTAAAAAACAAAGGTCTTCTAGATTGCACTCTTCGTAAAACGGGGGCTGTATTGTACATCGCAAGAACTGTCGTTGTGTCTTCGCTACTCTTCCAACAAAAAGAAACAGAACGCTACACGAAGCCCCCCCCCCCCCCCAATAAACCTGCGACACCGAGGTCTCCGGGTTCTTCTGCGCAACAGCCTCCCGGTTCGAAGGCAGTCCAGTATACACAACATACAGCCTGCCGTTGGAGAAGAACGGGCTAGACTAGTGCCATGGTGTCTTCCGGACTCCACGTTCCAGTAGTACGAGAAGTGGTCGACTCCATCCAAACAACCAGCTCCATCGCGGCCGTCAAAACGCTGCAGTATGCGGTGGTAGTCCACACTGCTGCCTGGGTAAGACGGACGGGTTTTGATTCAAGGACAGCGAGGACGACGACAGATACATCAACGCAGCCGGTTCTCCATCCCCACCCTGATCTCCACCCCCCACACACTACCGCAAGCGGTAGAGGTCGTCATCAGAGAACCCATTGACACTGCCGTTGCCTGTCTCACGCAACCCGACCCGCACTGAGGGCGCAGCAGCCAACCAACAGCACGTCACATCTTTCCCGTCGTACGGAACACATCATCACCCCCACACACCCCCTTCGCCCGCCATGTAAATCGCGCGATTCATGTCTCAGGCCACAGAAGCTGTCACTCCGTTCCCTGACCCACGCCAACGTCCGGCTTCGGGTATGGCCGCCGACGTGCTGCGACCACGGCCTCGCCGCCGGGAGACACTCGCTGCCTGGTGGTTCTTCTACCGCCGCTACGCTCCGTCGTTCTTCTCCTCTTCGAACACCATCTTCGCCTCGAGGTAGTCGATGTACTGCCGAGGCCACTCGGCCTTGAGGGTCGAGGAGAGCACGAAGCTCAGCTCCGTAGAGGCGGCCCCGTCGACGTCCACGACGCTCCTGCGCGACCCGTTGGTGCATGGTCAGGCATGTGTGGTGTATTAGATAGCATGGACCGCGCTAGCCGCCTGACCAATGAAAAGACGTCAGTCTTGTAGCCGTGTGTGTATGTATTCTTGATGCCACAACATAACGAATCCATCTCTCTCCACAGGAAAATAGTCCAGGATTAATGAGCAATTTTCTTGGGGGTGGGGGGCGGGGCATGGTGGGAAGACAAAGGCCGCAAATATTTGACGGCAGGGTGTACACTGGCATCAAGATTTTTTCACTTGGGGGTTCAGGAGCTGTCGCGTGGCCGGCCGGCCGCGGGTCATGAACGGGTTCGCTGAGCGCTCTCTCGTCGTTGGTTCTACCGTAGATGTATGTGCTCACCACTCTACCAGTGCTAGCACACTGCCCTGCATGCGGCAGAGTCCGCGAACCCTGAGCAACTCCTTCTGCGGCCCCCCCTTCGGGCCGTTGTCTTCGGGCCGCCCGTCGTCTTGTGCTCCTCCTGTGGCGGGATCTTCGTATTCGAAGTACGTGCATCCCTGCTTGATTGCAAGGAAACGAGCGTCGTCCGTTGCCAACGTGGGGAGGCAAGAGATCGGAGGGGGGGGGGGGGTCTGGGTTATTTCCTTGCTCTTAGGAATGAGACAAGTAAATGCCTTGAGGCGCAACTGTCTAAGGAACTACAGCGGTTGTGCACGGCAGGTCACTGAAGACCGTTGGCGTGCAACGGAGTACCCGTGCCCTCGGCTTGTCGATTGCCGTGACATTCGCTGGCCCGAAATACTTACTATTGCGTGCTGTGTCACAAACGCACCTAGAAGGAGGAGAAAGAAAATGCGGCGAAAAGGTACGGCTCACAGATAATGACCGCGAGGAGAGAACTACCACCAAGCAACGAGACACAAAAATCAAGAAATTATTCACGTAAAACTTGGAAGCAACCACATAAAAAACGTGTTTGAGCTGTCTTGATCAGGAACTAGAAGGACAGTCCGCGTTTATCGCCTGCCATTCGAAAGGGATGCGAAGGGAGCGGTCAGATCTCTGAAGGGCACGATATGCCAGTGAGGGCGCCACCCCCCTCCCCTCCGACCTGGAGAGGGCGAGGGACCACGCAACTAAAAACACAACACTGTCGGCATGATTTCAACGCTCCAGACTCCGGTCAACCCACCCTCGTCAGTCTCCGCCGCTCCCCACCACGTGCACTACCCCAGAAACATCAATTGCACCCACCATACGAGCTGTTCCCACACAAACCTCGTCACCAGAACCCTCGAATAGCCCTTGCCCGTCGTCGGTGCCGCCGCCACGGTCACCGTCGTCTCTGCCCTCCACCGTTCGTTTCGCCCTCTTTGCTCCCCTCGCGCGTCCCGGCGACACGTCCTCGCCGGCGGACGGCGAAGGCTCTCGGGCTCGTCGGCGAGCGATCTGCCCGCGCTGGCCGCCACCGCCGCTGCTGCTGCCGCTGCCGCTGCCGCCGCTGTCAACATCGTTCCCCTCCTCCTCTGCTTGCGACGTTGTACGCGTGGCGTTGGCCCCCTTGCCACCACGGCCACCTCCGCGGAAACTGTCCAGGTTGGTGGAAGCTGACGGCCATCGGCGGCTACCGTCAACCCCTGCCGTGGTGGGATCGCCCCCCTGGCTCATCCACTGGACCTCGTCGCCTCCGTCCTGCGGCAGTGTCGTCCACCGTTCACTGCTGTTGCGAGCCCTGTCGTCGACTTGTTCCGATGTCCCCCCCCTGGTTCCGCCCTTCCCCTGCCGCCGCTCCCCCGTCGTCCCTCGTGGTCCTTCGTCTCCACCTCCTCCTCCTCCTCGTGCAGGAAAAGCCTCTCGCCAAAGAGGCCCTGCACCAGAAACAGCCGCGTTGTTCTCTCGCACGCCCAAGGGAGGGCCGCGCTGCCGGCCGGCCGCCCCTCGCGCGCTCCCGCCGGCGGCGCGACGACAACTGTTCTCCCGCCCCCCGCCGCCCCCGGCATCATCGACACGCCTACGCCTTGTGGACAACTCCACTTCTCGTTGACGCGCCCCTGGTCGGTTCACCGGTGATACTGGTAGTGCTGCCTGCGCGGCGGCCACCGCGGGAAGGGCCACCCTTCGCCCGAGAGCGTTGCTGTTGGGAGTGGCGCCTGAGACGTGGGCGGTTGCCGCGGCATTCGCGAGTCTTCCGCCGCCGCCGCCGCCGCCGCCGCCGCTGTTGCTGTTGCCGTCGTCGTTGCCCGGACGAGCGTTGGCTGAACGGGACGAGGGGATGGTCGGGCCCGTGATGGCGGCTGCCGCGGCACCGCCGCCGCCGGCCGCGCGCTGGTCACAGTCCCTCGAGGAGGAATCACCGGATCCCCTGCCGCTCTGCCGACTGCGAGCCTGCTCCGCTTCCTCGTCGACGGCGAAGGTGACGCGCCGCACCTCGTCGGTCGAAGACGCGCCTATCCAGTTGCGGTCTTGTTGCCCCTCCCTCCGAAGCACAGGCCTCTGTGGCAGGCGCGGAGGAGAGCCATTGCTGACAGGCATACTGCTGTCCCACCCCGGCCGCCGCCGCTGCTGCTGCTGCTGCTGCCGCCGCCTAGAACCAGCAACAGCCCGTGGTCGTGCCTCCAGCGCTACTCCGCCGGTCGGGTCATCCCTCACCCCTGCCCCATCCCGTCGTCTTCGTTTTTCCTCAGAAGAAGGCGTCGTTCCCGTCTGCGAGGCAGCTGATGGCTGCTGCTGGTTCCCACCAGTGATATCTAAGCTGCTGCCGCCCTTCGAGCAAACCGCTTTCTTCGTGGAAAGAGGAGAAGCCAATGGTGATGCAGTTGTGCCTCGTGGTGCGCCAGCGGCTTGGGCGCCGAGGGAGGAACTGCCGTGAGAAACGAAGAAGATGTTTTGATTTGCGTGGGAAGGATCGACAAGCAAGCCGCACGGACGAGAATGCCGGGTGGGCAGGAGGGTGAAACGAAGGATGAGGCGTGTACATGCGCACAGGATTCGTCATCAGGGACAGGCACGGCACGTATTGTAAACCCGCGCTACTCTGCATGCCCCTTTTCTCGAGGAAGATGCAGAGAAAGCCTCGCGGCAGTAGGCGCGACCAGGTAGAAACATTTTCATGAATATTCTATATCGGGAAGGGGGGCAGTGCGCTCCGGTTTTGAGCAGGCACTGACTTGTGCAGCACTGCTCGATTTCCACAGATTCATTTTTTTTCTCCAAAACGAACCGCTTCTTTCCGCTTTGTCCAAATGGTTTGTCCCTCACGATCCGGGCTACAGCGTCTAAGGACGACTCGCTCACCCTCCGGACTTGGGCGGTACGGACAGCTCTTGCAGCAGGTCAAAGAGCGAAGCTACCCTTTGTTCGCTGTGGGCGCTGGGTCGGCCAGGTGCAGGTCGTATGCCACTGTGATGTGGGTCGCCTACCCCAACCGTGCTGCTGCCGCCACCACCGCCACCGTCGCCACCGTCGCCGTCGCCACCTTGAGCGCCCTTCTGGTGCAACTGGCGGATGCAAGTTCGTAGAGAAGAAGTCAAACAGCGTGCGTGCGAGCGACACAGACAGAAGGGGAGAGAGAGAGAGAGAGAGAGAGAGAGAGAGAGAGAGAGAGAGAGAGAGAGAGAGAGAGAGATAAAGACAGAAATAATGTGTGTGTGAGAGAGAGGGGGGGGGGGAGAGAGAGAGATACGTAGCAGTCTTCACAGGGTGGTGAGCACTACGGACAACGTGCTTTACTTTAACCGGCACAGCAGTCTGCATCGAAGGTACTGTGGAGGCTGGTCCACGCCGAACGATCTTGACCGTGTCGGCGACAAGATGTTTGGTTTTGGCGCGAGGCGGATTGACGGAAGGAGGTCCCCTCTGGAAGCGACAAAGCGCGGAGTTGCAGCGCGAAGATGCGTTCAGTCCAAATGCTTTCGTCGGCGTTTCTACCTCCTCACCGAAGGGCTAGAACACAAACGCAAGAACAGACGAACGACCCTATGAAACACAACGAGAGGCTGCCGTGCCTATCTAGGATGCATAGCCCATTGAAAGCAAAAGCTGAGATCATGTATGTTGATACCTTCAGCAATGTTTGACATGACGGCTTCGTCACTCACCGGCCGGTCCTCCATGAAATCAAAGCCCATGACAGCAGTGGCGCGTGTCTCGAGTTTCCTGCCACTAGCGAAAGAAGCCCCGGGCATCCTAGATAGCACAGTTTCCTCTCATCCCGACACTGGTCATGCAGGCGCCGCGGTATGATCCTCTTGCTTGGGAGAGGGAGAGAGAGAGAGAGAGAGAGAGAGAGAGAGAGAGAGACATGCGTACTCAAAATGCGCTGGTTGGCTTGTAGGAGGAGATTAAGTTCGTGACGGTGTACCGTAGTGGGACGGCCGATGTGCAGAGGGTTCGTCCGCAGCCCAAATCCTCTATAGCGGGGACGACAAAAAGATAAGCCAATGCGCCGTCGGGTTCTCGTGTTTGAATTTCTAACACGCCCATGCCGACTTCACACAGTAGAGTAGCACAGCTCCAAATGAAACAATGCCGTTTGGATTCGATCAGGGGGAGCTCCCCACGTATTACAATGCGACAGCTGCTACCACCGTTCCGACGCGGTCGCTAGCCGGCGGTCCCACTAAGCTTACGCCCCCGCATCGCAGCCGGCGTTTGGAACTACAGAAGTGCCGATCTGACCTTTCGGCATACCTTCAAAACGGACCCTTGCTGTTTTAGCCAAGAAAAAACAAGCCCCGAACACCAGCGTTGCTCCCTCTCTCCCTGTGTCTCTCTCTGTATTGCCCTCCTCTGTCCTTCTTTGTCGAGTCGGGGGGAGCAGACAGCAAGACTGGCACCGACAAGCACAGGCAAAAAGGCTTGTAAAAGACCGTTGCGCCGCGAAAAAATCTGTGCGCCCCCGCTCCGGAATAACGCCTCCGGAACTCTCGAATCAAACAGCCACCAAAAACTCTCGATTGCATCCGCCACTACTGCTGGACAGCAGTACACGCGCCCGTGCCTGCTAGACCCTACTCTTTCTTCCCTGCTTCAGGTATGGCTCTGTCACTTGTGGGAGACTATGGGGGTTCGGGTTCTTCTTCCGAGGAGTCAGAGGAGGAGTCAGAGGAGGAGCAAAAGCCGAAGAAACCTCAGGTATTGCTATAAGCCCCCCCGTTGGTGCTGTTTTATTTTCAAGTCAAACGAGGATAGATTTGGAGCTACAGCTCTCGTGCGCCCTTCCCCCCCCTCCCCCCACTCGTGCTCCTGGTTTGGAGTACTTGTGAGTACCGCATTGCTGGCAGTCGGGCACGTTGGTCTACGACAAGAGGTGAAAAACACCAGTCTCATCTCTGCAGCGGTCGGAAAAAGCGGTTACATTTGCAGCAATTTTGATCATACTCATAACCGTGGCGCTGCACATAGTACTCGCTTGACGACCCTGGTGGAAGGCCGGGCAAGGATCCGCAGTTGACGTACACCTAGATCGGCTGTCTCTCCGTGGGTTTCGTTGCTTTGACGTCTTTCTCGAGAGTGGCACGGTTGGTACGTTGTATACCACCCCCCCTCGCCGACGAACATTGTACAAGTACAACCCTCCTGATTTTCCCGAGTTAGCACTGGCCCCGGGTTCGATCGCTTGAAGAACACATCACTCATCATTTCCAACCCCACGGGTGTTGAAAATCGACGTTCTGTGTCCCCCCCCCTCCTCCAATCAATCCATGGGGTATCTGGTTTGGCAAAGCAATCCCAAGGATGATGACAAGCTTCCGTTTGATCTTACGAAACGCAACCTGGGCCACCGAAAACCCGGCATATCTCTCCGTCCCGGCGTTGCAGGGATGCGAGGTCAATGGTCTAACTGCTGCGGCATGCATTTACACGAGTACACACACACACACACACACACACACACACACACACACCCTGTCGCAGGTCTCCCTCCCGTCAGCCGCGGATCTGTTCGACAGCGTAGACACGAGCTCCGCCTCCTTCCTGTCCGCCCCGGCGACATCAGCAACAGACGCCCCGCTCACAACACCCAAGCGCAAGAAAACAGATGGCGGCGGCAGTAGCAACAAGAAGAGCAAGGACTCGAAGGGGGGGGCGGGGAGCGCGAACAAGGGCCTGGTTCCCCCGCAGATGTCTCGGCCGAATATCGTCACGGAGGATTCTGCCTTGTGGTCCTCGGACGCGTCGAGGAAGCGGCAACGGCAGGGCGAAGCGGAGAGGAGAGGGGCCGCCGCCGCGGCTGCGGGGGGAGCGGGCAAAGGGAAAGGTGGGGGCGCGAAAGAGTTGACGTTCAAGCAGAGAGAGAAGGTAAGCGACGCTGGGTGGGGTTCTCCCGTTTTTGTAGACAAGTGTCGGGGGGTCTGCCCCCCCCCTCCCCCCCCCCTCCTTTTGTTTCAAGAGATTGGCGCCATTCTTTGGCATAAGACAACCAAGCCGGTACAACTGGTAGCAGGTGCAAGTTCGTCCTCTTTCGTATTACAAGTACTCGTGCACGTGTACTTTCAGCGCACCGGCGAGCTCCGTTCAGCGCCACATTCGTCCACCGCGAAAACGATCCGCTGCCCTTGCACCGAAGCTTATTTGCGCTGTGCCAAGCCATGTTCCAGTTGCCACGCGCCAACCTGAAGAAGCTGTTTTTTCTTTTTTGCCAGCCTGGAGCTCGTTTTTCTCAGGGCTCAGGTTTTGAAGTTGCGGCCAAAATGCAACAATGAACAATAGACGGAGAGATACCATGTGCGGTCTACAGCAGTCGGGCGAGCGGACCAGTAACCCCCGAAATATTTTGAGTCGACTTACTGTGTAGGTCCTTAACGTTCTGTCAAGCAAATTTAGTGTTCTTCCTCGTGCTGTGTCCGCGTCTTCGAAACCGTCAGGCAAAGCGAGACAAGGGGCAGGCGTCGCGAGGCAAGAGCTACGTCGAGGAGGAGAAGCGGTTGCTGAGAGAACTCGGCTCGTCATAGCTGGCTCTCTCACGTGTTTTCCCGATTGATAGATGCAGTACACCACCACCGCTCAAAAGACCTAAGTACGTACGCGCGTTTTGGATGGTTCGCTCTCCACCTGACAGCCTATTTCGCGCTGTTTATACGTTGCCGCAAGTTTCAGCAGCAAGTCAGCGAGGTTGTGCTGTTTCAGCTGAGTGTAGCGTTTCATTTCGTATGGGTCTTCGTATGTCGGTACCCAGTCAAATCGAGAGTCGCCCGATTTGCTTTTTTTTTCGTAAGGCTAACCTTGTGAGGATATCGACTTTTTCCGCTGAAAGTTGGGTGGTTATCAACGTACGGCTCCGTTGGTGAACTAACGGAACGAGAATGCGCGTGCACAGGGGCAGGCAGCCTTCTTTTGGAAACACAAACCACCGCAGCGTCGCAATAATGCCACCTAGCGGCGCAATAGACTTTGCGACAGCAGCATCGGTGTGTCATGTGCGGTTGTCGCATGCGATTGGCAGTGCTCGACAACATGTCGAAAGAAAAAAATTGGTGGGTGTACATCAGTCCTACTGCTGTACATACTGTAGTCTATATTCAAGTCGCCTAAAACAGCAGCGAAGTACTTTCTTAAAACAGCAAGTTGTCAAACGACACTGCGCCATGTTCCCTGTGAAGGCCACATTCTACAAAAAGTTCAGAATGTATCCGCCTATACAGATGCCTTTGTTCTTAGCACCAACTGGCATCACTGATAACTCAGTGTTAGGCTTACACAAACTCAAAATAAGCCAAGTCTCCACTCGGTTTCAATCCACTTACTGAAAATATTTCACCACATCCCTTTCGACTGAGGTTATATCTCGAACGGGTACAATAGTCTTTCTGGGAGGTTATGGTCACTTTCAATAAAAAAATTCCGTCCGAGGCAAAGTTACCCTTAGCTTGCAGAAGGCGCACATATATTTCCTGTACATTGTTGAATGCCCGTAGCCCGAAGATACCGAAAAACAAGCTTCTTGGTGGGAAACCGCCGTCGCGCGAAAAATACGGCACACGACAAACTGGACGTGAGGGTAGCCCCGCTTTCCGCCAGCAAATGGTATCATCTTGCCGGAGCTTATGCCCCGCCCCGATTGACGGCCGATGGTTTGACTCTCGCATTTTGTTGTACGACACCGCTAGTGGTGGCTTTTCGTCATTGCTCCGCCTTCTTCTGGAGGGCAAACTCGATCCGACCCCTGCAGTAATGGGTTTGTATGCGCACGATAGGCAGGAAGCGGCGGGGCAATACCAGGACACGGTTGCCGGTGGACACTCGGGAAATCATTTTTTGCTGCCCTGGATCAAACGAATGTGATGATTGGGGAATTCTTGTCTCACCGTTGATGTTAAAGCTTGGTGACCTTCGGACACCCAACAGAATTTTCGCAGAAAGCAAGCGTTGCACCGTATTTCAACGCTATTCTCGCAATTCTTTCGATAGTTCCATCTCAGTTCCGGAGTGCGAGTTGAACGACAAAACGTCCCATTGGGCACAGACCACGCAACGCAGGCTCTCACGTTGTGATGTCATGTGCGTTTCGTATACCCTGAGAACGTGTGCTAGCCGTAGCAATTGGCCGTCAAACTCACCACAGCTCCATGTCACGCATTCGTTTCGTCTCGAGCAGCACGTCGTTCGGCAGTCGGACCACCTTCCACAGGCCCTTGCCCACCTGCAGCACAACCCCCACCAAACCGGAGAAAGACACGGGCACGCAAGCCAAGAGACGTAGATACGCGTCGCATTTTTTGAAATGGGTGTCATAACCTCCCGTTTGAACAAAAACCGTGATTCTCAGACGGACAGCAACAACACAGAGAAACGCGTACGGGTTTCCAAAGCATGGGAATGGGGGCACATCACGCACCGCGTACGGAGTGAAACGGCTGCTCCTATTTAGCCATGTTATTTGGGTACGAGATCCGATCTGGGTATGTTATTAGGGGTCCAAGTGCGGGCCCCCACGAGAGAGAGCACGCGCATGTGTCTAGTGTTCTCTATGTTCTGTAGTGTGCGCTAGAAGGAGCACGGTCATGTGTTAATCAACAAGGTTTACGTCATCAATATCGGTCCTAGGTTTACGTAGTCGCCGAACTCAACCCAACTACCGCGGGGACGTGCGGTAGCTTCCCGAGGAAACTTGGAACCCGGGAGTGGAGCAAGGGGGTCCCGTAACGGCGTTATCTTTATACTTCATAGGGGACCTCTGCCCTCACACACCTGCTCCTGGAGAGCACCCGCCGGCCAAGAGAGATGGTTGAAGAAAAACTTGAAGTCGCCGGGCTTCGCCTTGTTTTCCTCCACCAGATCCAAGGCGGTCACGAAGCCTCCCACGAACAGGCCCGTGTCGCCCAACGGCCTCGACCCCATGATGTCGTGCGGGTGGATCATGATGGCGGCCTCCCCGCCGTCCTAGTGAGACCAGGGGGAAGAAAAGCACGGAGCAAAGTGGCGTTGCGAGGGCTGAATGTGGAGAAAGGAAAGTGGTTGGGCTTGCGAGTGGATGAGGGCTGGTTGGACCTCGATGGCATCACGACCGAGAGGTGGCGTGCGCTGCCGAAACAACAAAAACAAAATACACCATTTCACCATGCGATACGAAACGGAACCGGCGGTAACACCGAGTTACATCCTACAACGACCCGACATGCAATTGCTTGCTTACACGGGGCACTTAGAGGAACTTGGAGGACACGTGTCCCAAACCCTGTCGTCAGTGCAAGTCCCGCCTCTTTTCTGCTGGTTGCTCTCGTGTGGGACGAAAGAGTTGTATGCGGGATACCTGCAGTTTCAGGTATAATATGCCTACACAGGCACTCCCAACAATTTGAACGCATGGGAGAGGACACACGCCCGCAAACGCAACAACTTGAAAGCCTGGGAGAGGATACACACACACGCAAACGTACATCGCCGCCCCGAAAAAGACGGTTGTTGGAAAGCGGTCCGAGGTCTCCGGTTGACATCTCCCCGATCGTGAAGTCCAACCCTTTGTCTACGCAAACCGCTCTTGACGGCCCTCCTTCTCCGTGCTCGTAAACTAGCGCGACGGCCTACCGGTGCACGAAAAAGGAGACAGGCGAGAGCGATGCTTGTGTGAGGTGGTGTGGTCTGTTGCCCAGCCGGTACATAGCACAGCTCCCCTGCAGGAACTCGATACAGCCGTGTTGCAGTACAAGCAAAACTCGTCCTTTCTTGGAAGAGGGAAACCATCTACCAGCCCGTTCTAGATTTTCACCCCCCTGCGCACATGTGGCCATCTCAAGCATGGCTCTTTGCTTTATCCGATAACAGCTTTTCATATGCCGTTTATCATGCGATCTATTGGGAGGAATGGTACAACGCGATACCTCAATGCGGCAATCCGCTGGAGCCAACGCCATATACAGTTCCGAAGGCGGGATCGACGCGTTTCGAGTGGGCCGGGGAAAGGGTGTGGCCCATCAATCAAAGTACATGAAGAGGGCCTACCGCGGTCGCACGTTTGTAGCGTCAACACGACGATCACAATGGACTAGAACGCTAAACAGCAGCAATACAGCAGCGGCCGAACGCGGTAGATTCAGCAGGACCAGCACGCTGGTGGACGCGCCTTCAACTCCGTGATCTCTCGAACACTCGTGCGCGTTGCCATGCTGCAGTTCGTACACTGCTACAGGCGTAGCCTGTGAACTCGATGATAAGTAAGACAGGTGGTGTGCCACCGTTGGCCCTTTGGGAGCGGATGCAAGCGCAAACCTTACGTCATGTGGTCCCCGAAACAGGTGTTACAGCGCAGGTCGCGTGCCGGGTCGACTAGAGGGTGTGGCCAGTTGCTGGAAGTGCAGAGTTCGAGAGGTGATGGTCGTTGCTGTAAAGTGGCTGCTGTGAGCGATCCTAAGAGAACGTGCAAAAAAACAGCTTCAGAACCGTAGTAGAAACTTTGCGTGCCGCTTGCGTGAGGATCCTGCCGTCGACAGCGCCGTAAGTACTGCATTGCTTGCATTCTAGGGTGTCATGGGATCCTTCGACGTGCCAGCCGACACATCGTGAACACGATGTACAGCAAAGTTTGAACGTTTGCACGTCCTGCATCATGTGTCAAACCTTGAACGTCATGCTTCCGTAGTTGTCAGCTCCCGCGACCAGGACGCTCCCAATTTCCAAGCCTCGGTCCAACTCCACCTCAAACGAAGCTTGTAGTCCCCCGACACCCCCTGCAGCGACGCGTCGTCGTCGCATTTCGCACAGCAGCGCACTGCTACTGCTCTCGGCGGCAGCAGCGCGGGAGCGTGCGGATTTTCTGGGACAAGCACGCTCTGTTGTTGTCAGCCGAAGGGCGGCGGCATTGCCTACGAAGCCCGCCGCTGGTCTCACCAAGCACGACACCAGGAGGGCCCACGACCAGAGAGTGGATCTCTGTGTTGCCATGCTCTCCTTGTTGGTGGTGCTGCTGTGCTGCTGTGTGGCTGCTGTGGTGGTGTGTGCTCAGCACAGTGCTGGTGCACCCACGGGAGGGTTGCGGGGCCCCGTGAGTTCAGTTGCGGTAAGGTACTTTCTGTGTGCCCCCGACAGCTTTCTCCCGAGCAGAGGCGCGGTTGGGGCTGATCACGCCACACTTTGTTCTTGTGTTGCTAGCGCTGTGGGTTGTGGGTTGTGGGGCCATGTTCGAGAAAAGTCTGCAGGATGTTGTCAAGGGCATCCGCGCCAACAAGCGAGATCCTTCCGATTACATCTCGGCAACAATCGCGGAGATCAAAGTGGAGCTCAGGAGCTCGGATGCCTTCATCAAAGCGCAAGCGGTGAGAAATGACAGGGGCGATATAACAACTTGGGTACATCCTTGACCCCGTTGGGAGAGTTGCTGCCAAGATGCAGGGAGGATGATGACCAGGACAACCTGTTGCCTCGGAAGAGTTGCTAACGAGCTAGCAGAGCAAGTATGTTCGGGCGGAGTGCGCTTCCAAACTACGGCCATGTGCTTTGGTAAAGGCCGCACGACTCCTTCCTCTGTTGCTCAAGCAGTCACACCTGCGGGGTGTGCCCCTGCTCTCTCTGCAAAGAGAGAGAGAGCGGTGCTACTGCTGTGGAACGGACGAGCCTTGATAACGAGGAAGATAAATATCTCTTTTGCGAGCATGGCTTTAGCCTTCCATGCAATGTAGCTGCTTTCGTGGGTTTCCCGAAACTCAAGCCTCTCTCCTGATGATGTAGCCTCTCTGCTGGATGCGGCCCCGACCCAGCGCTGACACGGAATACATCTCTCCGCGGATGCTGTGGACACTGCTTACGCGCACCGGTTAGCCAGCTGATCGTGCCGGGATCATCTAGGCAGAATCAAAACAGTGCTTGCTGTACGGCAGAGGCGGGTGCATTTGAGTAACGTTTGCTTCTCTCCCTAAGTTACCAAAATAGCGTGCCTCGTTCGTGCATGTGTATAATGTTCGTCCCGGTAAAGAGCTACAGAGCGGCGTGTGTTCTCACTTTTCGGCACGGCGCACCTTTGGTTCGAAAGAACATAATTCCGCTTGGGGATGTTTTACAGTCAACAGGAGGACGATCTTTGACGGCAATGCTCCCCCGGCAACTTGCTGGTTACCTCTCCAGCCTACCTTTACACGTGGTATCCACATGCTCGTTACGTCTGGCGAGAAAGAGTCAAAGAGTTGAACAAACTACCAGGGGGGGGGGGGGGCGAAAAAAAAGGTCTATTCCCCCCCCCCCCCCAATATAAACACCACCCAAAAGGGGGCCCTGTGGGCCCAAAAGGGGTTATAAAAAAACACGGGGAAAAATTGTTTTTTTTTTTGTGTTTTTCCGGGGGGCCCCCCTTCCCGCGGCCCCCCCCCCCCCCCCAAAAAACCCCCCCTTCCCCCCCCCC